GAAAACAACAAATCCTACACACTGTGCCTTTAAAAAAAAAATAAAAAATAAAAATAAAAATAAAAAAAATAATAATAATAATAATAATACACAAGCAGCTTTAAGTACTACTGGAGCCAGTAATACGTACAAGAAACTACAGGTTGCTTAAATTAATATTAAGAGAACATTTTAAGTGTCGGTACATCAGATAAGCCTGYAAGATCTTGTAGGAACAGGAAATTGCTGATAACATAGAAAACAGATTTTATCCTTTATTTGTTATGATGGTTATTATAAAGTTTTAAAAAGGGAGAATACTAGAGAACACTTTTGTTACAGTCGGGCAAAAACCTTGAATCTACATTTGTCATAATTTTTCAAATTTCCTTACACCTGTTTGTGCTTTAATGGATGGCTAAACAGTAACAACTATCAAAAACACCCAGTGAACCCACATTACTGAACCCGTTGTTTGAGAAAAATCTTTTTCCTGGAAATTTTCAGCTTTTGGAGTTACAAGGTTACAGCCTGATAGTGAATGCATTTATATAAATAAATAATCAAGTGAAGGATTAGTCTGATGCTTTAGTGATCGCCACTCCCAAAGAGGATGGTCAAAAGTTAGGAAAATACAGCATGAGCTAATGCTAATACCTTCTGGTTTCTGCTAATAAAYTTACAAAACACATTTTCAGAGAGGAAACTTAAGAACACAAGCCAGCCTTCCACTGAGCAACAAGAGAGAGGTGAGAGCATTGTGGACTTTCCATCTGGTGAATTTGATAACMAAGACTTTGTCCAGATGATGTCTACAGTTCATACATAAAACACAACATCTTTGCTTTGTACAGAGACACAAAGATGTAATAAAAACAGTGCAGAAGTCAGGATGTGTGACAGAGGCTACGTTCACACTGCAGGTCTTAAAGCTCAGTTCCGATTTTTTGAAAAAATCCTTTTTGTGTGAACGTTCACATTACATTTTAAATGTGACCTGCATCAGACCCCTGTGTGAACGCTACACAG